AGTCCTGAGGATCAAATTCAGGTTATCAGGCTTGGCAGCAAGCACCCTCCCCACTGAGCCAACTTGTTAGCCTCCCTGGACTACTTTCCAAATAGGAAACTATAGTACAGGGAGGTTATATAACACCCTTTAAGCCCCTCAGCTTAGCTTGTGACAGGGCAGTTTTTGAACCCAAGTCCAGCTCTAGAGCCTTAGCCCTCTGCACAGGAACTGAGAAAGGTTTCAAAGCCTTACCTTGGAAGGGGGAGTAGATTGGTAAAGTAAAAAAAAAAAGCAGTCAGATACATGATGGTCAGTGACCCTGTTTCCAGCTGAGCCACATACAGCTTCATGAACTTGGGAAGTCACCAGCCATACATGAGACTCCAGCTCCCTCTTTACCAGATAGAAACACAGGGAGGTGCCCTGCTTGCATTTGCTCAGAGTAGAACACCTGTGAGACATTTCTGCCAAGAAACCAGGTTTTAGAATCCTGTGATTCAGCTTTTCCTGCGTGTGCAGAGCACAATTAATGGATTCCTACAGATGGTCGTATAAAATATGTATAGCATACAGAACATTGTTGACATTTAAAGTTGTTTTTACTGATAAAACCAAAGCAGCTTCAAATGCTAACAAATTCAAACAGCAGTAACCACAAATTTATAGAACAAATTTAAAACGTGGCCATGAATCCTATTTAACCCTAACATCGAAAGGTCTCTTATTTGGGACTAGCTTCTAGCCACATGGATTTTGCAGAGACAATGAGCATGGGGGTGGGGGACTTTGTAGCCTCTGGTTTCATACTGCCCACCCCCTTGTGTACCCCAGGTCACACCCCAAGGACTGTCTTCCTCCTTCCCATTCACTCCCACCCTCTAAGCGGGGAGCTCACTGACAGTTCACTACAGTGATCTCCTAGGGCTGCCATAACAAGATGGTAGAACACAGGCCAGAAACCCAAGATCTAGGTCTCTCTCCTTTGGCTTGCAATGGCTGTCTTCTCCTTTCTCATATGGCTCCTTCTGGATATGCAGGTCTGCTCAGTTGGGTCCCTTCCTCCCTTCTTCCTTCCCTCCCCCACCTCCCCCCTCTTTTTCTTTCTCTCTCTCCCCCTCCTTCCTTCCCTGGCCCCTCCCTTCCCACTTTCTCTTCCTTTCTCTCCCCCTTTTCTCCTTTCTTCCTCCTCCCTTTTTGTGAGGTCACCAGTCAGATTGGACTAGGGACCACCATAACCGCCTATTTTAATGTAATCACTTCTTCAAAGGTCCTGTGTTGGAGGCATTTTGAAGTACTGGGGGTTACAGTTCCAGCACGTGGATGGAAGAGCTGTAACAACCGTCGCCCACCACAGGAGACACATTTCTTCACTGTTTTCTTTGTCCATTCAGCACCAGAATTGTTACTGACTAGAATTTCCTTGGGCACCTACCCTCTCCGTTTTCCTTGGATATGTCCTCAGGAATGACATGTGAACCATTGGCCTCCAGCATCATCTGTACTTTGCTCTGGTTACATCTGGAGCTCCTTCTTCCCACTTCCATCCGCCACTGTTACAGTGGCATTCTTTCTGTTCTCCGGGTCCTTCCACAGCCCCCTCTGTCACCCAGCTGTCACTATAAGTGAATCACCTGGGATAAGCCCTGGCCCTTCTCGTCTTTCATTGAATTCTTTCCCCCTCAATCTTTTACCCAGCTTCCTAGCTCTCCTTCTAATCACAGTTTAAATCTGAAACCCGTACCTTCCCATCTTCGCTAGTGTGTCTCCAGGACTCTGCCTCTGGCTTTTAGAAGCTTACATGCAGATGGATGCTTTCATCCATGAAGTCCACTTGACCAAGCCAAACTGTCCATCAATCGCCCTCTCATTCCATTTTCCTCTGACACCATTTTCCCCACGTGTTCAGCTAGAAATCTCAAAGTACCTTTGTTTCTCCATTTTGTTTAGTCCCCTAAATTCTTTTAATGATTCCTCTGTCTCTCATTCATCTTTTCTATGTGGTCCTTCCAAGTGCCTTTCAAGAGGTGGCAATATCCTGAGTGGATATCCTTGTCCCCTAAGAGTTTGGAAGACCTGAGGGTGCTCAGACCCAGTGTGGCAGCTGTGTGTGAGAAGGTTCCCTGGTCACTCAGGCATAGGCTAATGCCGTCCCGAAGAACTCCCTATATCAATGACATGTTCTGAGCCTGCACTGTGTGATAGCCACTAGTCATGTGTGGGTTATTAAGTACTTAAACTAGTTCAGTGCAGGAACTAAATACTTAATTTTCCTTAACTTAAATTGACACACTAGCTTCATTCAACTTCCCATGATAACCTCCACCAAACACCACCCTGCTTGAGACTACATAATCTATTGCTAACCTGGGCTCCTCCACATTCTCTAGGTTCATCTTCTTAGGCACAACTGAGTATTAGCTTGTTTTTAGAAAAAAAAAATTGAAACTTACTTATTTTTATGTGTTTGTCTACATGTGTATATATGTATCACACGTGTGCTTTGTAACTTGGAAGCCAGAAGAAGGCTTCAGATCTCCTAGAACTGGAGTTACAGGTGGTTGTGAACCACCATGTGGGTGTAGGGACTCTTTAAGAGTCTCAAGTACTCTTAATGACTAAGCCATCTCTCCAGTCTCCTTACTGGTTTGTTTTAGCTTTCTATTTAACTGTTAGTTTGAAATAATTTCAGTCTTATAGAAAAAAATGCAACATTTAATACAAACAGTTCTTTTGTACCCTTCAGATTCCTCGTATCTTAACATTTTACTGTTTGCCTTTTCTGTATTCTTCCTTCTGCGGTTGTAGGGGGTGGCTTCTGTTTGAAGCAAGGGCTTTGACTACACTCGGCAAGTGCTCTCCGTACTGAGCTGTATCCCACAGCCATTCCCTCTTTCTCTGCATTTCTCTGCTCTATACACACAATGCACATATATACTTACATAATTATACTTATGAACAGCTTGAAAGAAAGTTATATTCATAAAATTTTAAATATTTAGATACCTTAGTGTTGGGTTTTTTCCTAAAATCAAATGTGTTCTATAAAGCACATTAATAATAATTAAAATAGAAAAACATTTATAGAATGCTATCATCTAACTTATTAACACTATTCAAGCACTCTCAGCTGTTTCATTTAGCAAGCAGTTATTAAGTGCCTACTGTGTGTCAGCTATATTGGATATATAACAGTGAACAATAAAAACACTTCACCTCAAAATCCTTGTGCTTCAGTGGGAAAGGAAAGGCAGACAATAAAACAAGTGAAGATATAGTTTGTCATGTGATAAGTACAGAGGAGGATGATAAATCAAGACTGTGTGTGTGTGTGTGTGTGTGTGTGTGTGTGTGTGTGTGTGTGTGTGTGCTATTCTGTGGTGCTGGAATGGAAACCAGGGCCTTGTGCTTGTCAGGCAAGCATTCAATCACTGAGCTCCCTAGCCCAAGGGCTAGGATTCATGTAGTTGTGTAGCTCACTTATGGGAGATATCCCTGGTAACATGCTCCCACCCTTGTATTAAATGTAATTTCCCTGCACATATTCTTTTTTTGGGGGGTAGTACAGGTGTGTGTGTTTATGCATGTATGCATATGTGTACACATGTATGTTGTATGAAGGTAAGAGGCCACTGTCAGGTTACTCGAGCACCTTAACATCATCATTACTTTTTTGTTGTTGTTTTTTCAAGACAGGGTTTCTCTGTGTAGCTTTGGAGGCTGTCCTGGCACTCGCTCTGGAGACCAGGCTGGCCTCGAACTCACAGAGATCTGCCTCCCGAGTGCTGGGATTAAAGGCGTGCGCCACCAACGCCCGGCTCCCTGCACATATTCTATAATGCAAAGTTGTGTGAATGGTTTGAGCAGTCATTTAATGACCACCCTAATAAAATCAGGTCTCCCTGTGCTGTTTGTCAACCCTTACCCTAACACCTCTGGCAGCCATTGACCTGTTCTCTGTTCTTAGTTTTACCTTTCTAGAGTGTCAAATAAGTAGGATTATACAGTTATTATAAGGAGCCTTTGAATCTGGCTTCTCTTAGGTAAGGAGAAAAATCAGGTTATCAGCAATTAAAGAGAAAAGGGATCATGAATTTGTGAGATACAGGGAAGGGTTGTGGGGAAGAAAAAGAAGGGGGAATAGCGTAATTGTATCTTAATTTTTTAAAATGACCTGAAGGAAATATGAAATCAAGCCATGAGAAATAATGCAGGTGTTTCTGTGTGTGTATCATATTTTTATTTAGTCAGAGAAGTATATTTGTGCTGAGACATTTCTATATGAGTTATTTTTTTCTTGTTGAGTTAGAGAAAGTAAAGTAGGAAGGGAAGATAGTAAGATATATCCGTTCACTTATTTTTGAGGGTTGGGGCTCACAGTAGTGTCTAGCATCCTAGGCTCACTGGGAACTCACTGTGCTGCCCAGGCTGCTTTGAACTCATGACAATGCTTTTAACCCAGCCTCCCAAGGGCAGAGATCACAGGCATGAGTCACAACTCGCAGCTTCCATTCATTCATTGGTCCATTCAAAAAACATTTGGTTTGGAGATTTTTGTTGTTTTGTTGTGTTGTGTTGTGTTTTTTAAGGGGCAGCTACCAGTCACAGTCTGTGACTCAAAGGAAGCCAGAGACCCTTGGATCCATACCAAAGCTAATTTTAGTTGGTTTATCTGACATAATTTCCTTTCTGCATTTCCTGAAAGTTAGGGTGAGCATGTAGTTAGTTTGTTATTAGTTATCATCATTACATAGGACTGTGAGGGCCATTAGAGTTTTGAGAGCTTCTATCTCACTGGACCTAGAGGCCCCTACAGAGGCCCTTAAGAACTGATATTCATTAGATCATAGGACTGTCTGTATCAGGGCAAGGAGATCCATAGGAAGACATAGTAGAATGAGGGCTTTCTGTAAATGAGGGGCCAGCAGGCAGGACAACAACATCCTCCCATGACCTAGGAGCTTTCTGGGAAAACAGAACTGACTTCTTAACATCATCACTTATTAACATCTTTGTTTCAGGTGATGCAACTGTAAAAAAGAAACCTGCACCCAAGACACCTACAAAAGCAGGTAATAGTCACAGTCCTGAGGGCAAGGGAGTCATTTGCCATGTGGGTCGTGGTCAGCAGCCCCTTCCCTTGTTCAAGCTCTACATGTTGCTCTTCCTCCTTTAGGGAACCTATGCTCAGCTGGTACCTCCCCCACATCCTCTCCTGCTTCCTTCCTCTGCCTCCATCTGTGTGTGCCATGTCACAGGCTGCTGGTGGCTTTCCTGTCCCTTCTGCTAAGTTGTGCCTCAGCCTCAGGCCTCCAGGCTACCCTGTGTGGGGGTAGCCCACATCGTGCTGATTTTAGATCCTGTGTGTCCTTGTTTGTTGTCCCTGGGAAGGTATTTGAAGGCATGAACCACACTGAGCCTCCCAGCCAGAGTGATTGAAAGGTTAGATGCAAGGTACAACTAAATTAAGAAATGAGCTGGGACAGAGATTCATGGGGAGGCGCAAATTCCATCACAACCAATCAATAAAGAACTATGTTGTGTAACTTGTGTGGCTCACTTCTGGGGATTCTAAAGAGTAAACAAGTCTAGCAAGGTTCATACTCAGACCTTTTGGAACAGGGGTCAGTACCTCCATTCTTATCGTGAATATTCTAGAAGGGAAGAGAGGCATCAACAGAGCAACATGGCCAGTGATGCTAGTGAGATCAGCATGTTTAAGGCTCCCGCCTCACGTTCTACTTATCCCCTCCTAGTTATGCCCCCTCAAATCATCCAGTTCCCTGAGGACCAGAAGGTACGCGCAGGAGAGCCTGTGGAGCTGTTTGGAAAAGTGACTGGCACCCAGCCTATCACCTGCACATGGATGAAGTTCCGAAAGCAGGTCAGTCATGGAAGCAGGGTGGCCTAAGGACAGCTTATAGTCCCTGAGCCAAAAAAGATGAGAAATGCTGTGTGGAGAGAGTGCATTGCCTTTTTTCACTTTGGAAATGGAAGAGAGCATGGGGCATGGTGGTACATCCCTGGAATCCCAGCCCTTGGAAGGTTGAGGCAAGATCAAGGACAGCCCAGCTAACCTTACAGGATCCTCTATATAATAATTATATATATATAATATAATTATATATTTTAATATATTAAATATATATATATATATATTAGAATTTTGGCTGAATGACCTAGAAGTATAGCTACAATTTATAATAATGCTCCCTATGAAAGCATTTGAATTCCCAAATAACCAGTATGTAGAGAAATTTGGAGGACCCAGCTCTTCTCTGTTCATGCTAGTAATGGTACTCGTGTATGCGATTATCAGACACCCCAGATTAATGGGCTTGTCCTGCATTAGGAACACTACAGAAAATATGAGGAATCTTTGTAAACCTCCTCACTGTTTCCATACCCATTAAAATTGTCAGAGCCAAGAGATGAGCCACTAGTATCTAGGAGAAAAGCAGAGCTGGTTTCAAGGGAGGAGGAGAAGAATGTGGCCCCGCCCCTCCTAGACGGGTGGATAAGATAGAATCACATCCCTTTTCAGAGCCAATTAATCAAATTCGGAACAAAACTTTCTGCAGTTTTGAAACCTGTTGGTATCTGTCCAGTATGATTGCCACCGGCCCTGTATGTTGAGCATGTGAAATGTGGCTAGCACAATTGAGGAATGTCTTAGTCACCATTCTGTTGCTGTAAAGAAGCACCGTGACCAAGGCAACTGGTGAAAGGGAGCACTTAAGTGGGAACTGGCTTACAGTTTCAGAGGGTTGGCCTATGAGCATCACAGTTGGGGAGCATGGCTGTAGACAGGCAAGCATGGCACTGGAGCAGTGGCCGAGAGCTTACTTGGTGATCCACAGAATGCCAGCAGAAGTGAGGCTGGCCTGGCATGGGCCTTTGAAACCTCAAAGTCCACGCACAGTGACACACCTCCTCCAACAAAGCCATACATTCTAAACATTCCACTCACCAGGAACCAAACATTCAAATACATGAGCCTGTAGGGACCACTTCTATTTAAACCACCATGAGGAACTACAAATTTTTTCAGTACTAAGGTTTGAATTTTAGACTTAGGCTGTACATATGCTGGGCAAGCACTCTACCACTTAACTATATCTCCAGTCTTCTTTTTACTTTTTGAGGTAGTCTTAACTAAGTTGTCCAGGCTGGCCTTGAACTTGTGATCCATCTGACTCCTGAGCAGTTGAGATTACAAGCCTATGCTACTGTGTCTGGCTAAATTTTTAACTTTAATTAGTTAAAAATCACTGTATACTCCGGGCATTGGTGGCGCACGCCTTTAATCCTAGCACTCGGGAGGCAGAGGCAGGAGGATCTCTGTGAGTTCGAGGCCAGCCTGGTCTCCAGAGCGAGTGCCAGGATGGGCTCCAAAGCTACACAGAGAAACCCTGTCTCGAAAAAACCAAAAAAAAAAAAATTCACTGTATACAATTCAATGATGTTACTCAATACACAAAATTGTATAAGCAATAGCATTGCCTAATTCCTCATCCTAGAAACCATTCATGGACTCTTCCTCCATCCAGTCTCCACCATTACCAGCCTACATTTTATCCTTATGGATTTGCCTATTCTGGACATTTCAGATAGGTGGAATCAAGGAATCTATCACATCAACTTTTGTCTCTAAGTGTTTAGGGTTTTTTTTGGGGGGGCAGGTTCTTGTTTTCAGGACTTATCTGTGCTGTAGCATGAATTGGTATCCTATTACCCCATTTCTTTTGTATTCTTTGTGTGTGTGGGGGGGGGAAACAGAGGACAACCTGGGGTGTCACCCTGTCATCCTCAGGCAAGCCATCACCTCCCTTGAGACAAGATGTCTTATTTTTTTCCTCCATTTTTTATTTGAATTAGAAACAAGATTGTTTTACATGTCAATCCCAGTTCCCTCTCCCTCCCCTCTTCCCCTGCCCCTCCTCCAACTAAACCCCTACCTATCCCATACCCTTTCTGCTCCCCAGGGAGGGTGAGGCCTTCCATAGGGGTCTTCGGAGTGGAGGTAAGATGTCTTATCGGCCTGGAGTTCACCAGTTGTGCTAGACTAACTGGCCAGCAAGCACCAGGCTTCCTCCTGTCTCCACTTCCCCAGCAGTGGCATTACAAATATGCACCACAACAGACTAGATGCAACAACTCCTGCTCCTCCCCCATGTCCTGTCCATCCTTGGGAACAGAGAGTGGAGGAGCCCCCTTTTTCACTCCTGCCTCTACCTGCAGATCCAGGAGAGCGAGCACATCAAGGTGGAGAGCAGTGAGAGTGGCAGCAAGCTCACCATCCTGGCAGCGCGCCAGGAGCACTGTGGCTGCTACACATTGGTGGTGGAGAACAAGCTGGGCAGCAGGCAGGCCCAAGTCAACCTCACAGTCGTGGGTAAGTCTGAGAAACACCCAGCAGGGAGACTGGGGGATGCAAAAGGCATGAAACCCAGGGCATCAGCTCATCTCTGTCTACCACTTTGACACAGTACCCTCCATACCTGCCCCTACTTCACACCCCTAGTATCTTTCTCCCCTGGCCTCTCTGCCTTCCTGGCCATTGGAGACCCTCCCACTCCAGGTCTTCCTCTTGGCACCTAAACTTCCTCTGCCTTGTGTCCAGCACTATGTCACTCCCTTTGTGTCTTTGTTAGGTTTTCTGTTGCTCTGCTGAAACACCATGTCCAAGGCAACTTAGAGGTGGAAGGGCTTATTTGGGGCTTTTGGGTCTAGAGGGATAAGAGTCCACCACCATAGTGGTGGGCAACATGGCAGCAGGCAGGCAGGACTAGAGCAGCAACTGAGAGCTCACATCTCAATCTACAAACAGCAGAGAGGGCCAACTTGAAATGGCTCAAGTCTTTTGAAACCTCAAAGCCTAACTCTAGTGGCATGCCTCCTCCAAGTCCACACCTCAAACGGCCACCAACTGGGAACCAAGTATCCGAATGCCAGAGACTTATGGGGTAATATGCGATCAAAACCACCTTACCCTGCAAATCACCACTCAGGATCTGTGTCACCTCCTGGAACATTGTAGCATGAAGATTGTATCACCTGTGCACTCCAAGCTGTACTCTGGTGCCCCAAGGCTAGCTGAGACATCGTGCCCCTCAGAACTCTTTGTCCTGGACCAGAAAGCCAATGCTGTTTCTTGAGACATTCTCTGTATTCCCCAACATGCACACAGAGCCCTTAGCCTCTAGCTTCACTGAGAACTACGAGACATGAGGCACAACTCTTCTGAAATTGGTGGCCTCCAGGTATCTATGTATCATGCCACTAGTGGCTCCCCTTTGCCTTTGTGAGGGGTCTTTTCTTGGGTCCAGTTCCGGGCTTTTGGGGTTCCATCATCCTCACTTCACTCAACTTTCCATTCTTGCTTGTTCCTCACAGCAGCAAGAGAAGTTGCCATCTTAGCAAAATGCACAGGCGTTACCCTCCTGCAGCAAGAGAAGTTGCCATCTTAGCAAAATGCACAGGCATTGCCCTCCTGCAGTAATTTGCCTTCCTGTAGTGCTCTGCTTTCCGTACCCCACCCATGGGCAAACCCTGTGGCAGCATAGTCTGTGCTCCTTCACCCCTGGCACTCTGCAGCTACCTGTCCCTTGCTTCCATGCCCCCTGGTCTTCAGAGACTGCTCCTCTGAGATCACTGTGACTCCTAAGCCCAACTCCTTTCCCTTTCCTTACCTGGGACTCCCCACTAAGTTGAACCCATATTTAGTCTGAGTCTCAAGTTTACATGTTCCCTTTCCTGGTAACTGTCCCTTTTCCCCAGTCTGTCTTCTGACCATCTAACTTGCTATGTGGTTTCCTCCCATGGGTGATGCTCAGTGTCTTTCCTTGGTCACAGTTCCCCATGTGGCAGGTGCATAGTACAGTGGAGGGACAAAGGGGCTGCTAGGTGCATAGTAGACTGTATTTTGTGCCTGTGTGGGCCTCCACATGTGGGGTCTGTGAAGGACTTTGACCTGGTTATTTATTGCCATGCACATTAGACTTGAGTGGGTTTTCCAGGCAATCTTGACTCTCAAGGTTATAGGGTTTCCTTTGTAAAAATTAGAAAAAGGAGCTACTTTGGGATTCAGTGTGAAGACTACACCCCAACTTCACAGAAGGGCTCACAGCCTGGCCTTGGGCCTACAGAACACAAGAATTTTTGAAAAGAACTGTGGTCCACAGTGGTTAGAACTCACATAGGAATCTATCAATGGAACTTTCCAGGGATAAAGTTGGTGGTTGGAGATGACTTAGAAGCTCTCTTAGCTCCGTCACTTTCTACTCCTTGACTTTGGTCCCAGTTTCCCTCCTCCACCTTTATCTCATATCCTCACTTTAGGTGGAATTGGACAGGTATGTCTACAACCTTACAGAAGGGAAACTAAGGGGAGAACTAGCCTCAAACTCTCAAACGCCTGCCCTCCAGAGGTACCCATAGCCTGTGGATGGGTGAAGGGTGAAGAATGTCTGCAAGATAGATAAACCTCTGGCTGAGGAACTCATCTTGAGGATATACAGCATGGAGAGCTGCCACATGCTAAGGAGCTAATTGATGACCTTGGTTTCCCACCTTGAGCCTTGGGGAGCCTGGTAGCATCTCACTCCAGGCCATAGTAGGAAAGAGTAAGTTCTTAGAGAGGAGGAGTTCAAGAACACAGAGCATCAGTGCACACTCCCACCATGGACTCAGTTTATCCCTGCCTCTCTCTTGTCCTTTCCCCTTCCCTGCCTGTGTCTTTCACACTCAGTGCCTATCATTCTGGCCCATGACCCTTCTTCCTTTCATCTTCCTTTGCTTCCTTAGATCTGGGAAGTGGGTATACCAAGGGTTATGGAATGAGTTTCTTACCTAAAGGAGAACCCAGTCCACCTCTCTCCGTGTCTCTCTGTCTCTCTGTCTCTGTCTCTCTCTCTCTCTCTCTCTCTCTCTCTCTCTCTCTCTCTCTCTCTCGTAACTTTAAGTGTTGACTTCTGTAATTTCCGAAGGAGACAGGAACTTTAGGGGGATTGGTCATGGTGATACAACTGTACATTTGAACCCATACCTGAAAGTGTTGATTGGCTCACTCCCCAGTGCTACCACCATGCATCAGTACTGCTCTTCCTCAGTGTTTCCCATTCATATGCCCCTGCATGGGTAACTTTGGGCTTAGAAACTCTGAACTGCTTTTCTGGAGCCAGTACCCCCTGCCCCCACTAGGGCCGCCCCTGTGTGCCCACACTCCCCTCCCCCAGCCTGCTCCACTGTAGGAGCTGCAGTTCTGGCCTTTTATGGTTGAGTTTCTTATTCTCCACGGCCAGTGCTGACAGGGCCATCGGTGTGGCTGCCGGCCAGCTGGCAGGAGCAACATGTTAAATGCCGTCCTGGGAGGGGAATGGAATGGAGAGCAGGCTTTCTGTCTGCCTCCCCCACCCCAGAGCTAAGAATAGAATCACTCAATAAAATGAGGACTTGTATTGATGGCCACAGCAAAGCTACATTCATTCAGAGCCCGTGAATTTAGACTAAGGCCAAAGTAAACCAGGGTTAGGCTGATTTACCTCTATGTCTCCAGGGACATCTGCATATTATCTGATCAGCATTTACTAAGTAGATGTAAACGTAAATGAGATAAAACAGAAATTGTTCCACCTATTCCAGACAGTTTTCAAGCACTTGAAAAGCATCCACTCGATGGGCCAGCTAAATAAGGCCAGTTAAACGCAACTTGCACTTGCTAGCCACAGAAATCTCTTACACGACATAGTCTTTGAAGAGCTGTTTTCTTTTCAGATCACCCATGATTCATATTTTCAAATCAATAAAAAACTAGCCCTTCCCTCAGTTTAAGTGAGGGATCCTTAGCTATTTTCGAGGCTAATTATTATTACACTTTAAGAAGCAGTGTAAGAATTAGCAACGCTGCCTGGTCTGGGCCTGTGCCTGCACCACTGTTCTGTCAGCCTGGGAGAGAAGGGAGGAGGGGCCATGGGTCCAGATGGATTCTTTAATGTCATTCACCCAGCACAAGAAAAACAGGCCTCCACATAACTCTAAAGGAGAAAAGCAAAGCACAGAGAACCCTAAACACCCAATATACACTAAATACCTTCTGACTTTAAGACTTGTATGGTATGGAAGGGTGGGTCCTTAGACGTCCTTGGTTACCAGTATAAGCAAGATGATCCCTTGATCTCATTCTGCCTGCTACCCTAGAAAGACCCAGACCCTGTCTGGGAGCACAGTTGTAGGGCTCTCCTTGAGGCTTTGTCACTAACTAGTGAGTGTTCCAGCTTGCTCTGATAATGTACCCTGACCAAAAACAACCTTGGTGGGGAGTATTATTTGGCTTACAATTCAGGGTCACAGTCCACCATTTCAGGGCATCCACAGCTGGAACTGGAGCAGCCAGTCACTTCACATACACAGCCAAGAGCAAAGAGACTAAATGCTTCTTTGTTTGCTCTCTTGCTTCCAGCTAGTTCTTCCCCTCATACACTTCGGGGCCTCCAGCTTAGGGAATCTAGCCATCCATGATGGCCTGAGTCTTCCTGTATCAATTCACCATCAAGACATTCCCCATAGACATGCCCAACCTGCTCCATATAATTCCTTGTTAAGACTTTCTTCCCAACTGACTCTTGGTTGTGTCAGACTGACAGTTAATACTAACCCGCACATTGAACACAGCCTCAACCTCCGAGAGTCCCTTTCCAAGAGTGTGCTGTTGTTCAGGCCAGCAGCTGTTGAATTTAGGATCTATGGATGGCCGTCTAGGCAGGCTTAAAAGCTCACAGACAGACTTTGTGTGGGCAAACACAAAGAGGGCAAGGGGAAGCTGGACTAGTGAGAAGCCTTGCAGACAAGGTCATCCATTTTCCCAAGAATAGGAACCCTTTACTGAGCAGAAAAATCTTGTGCTGGAGCTATGAGGAACCTTTCCCTTAGAAGGGTTTCCCATTCTGTTAGCCATGTCTCCAGGGAGCCCTGGGAGAATTCTGAGGAAGCATGGGTCCAACTGCGGACACCAAGCCAGTCTCTTGGTTGCCAGGTACTACCCAGGCTGAATGTGTCTGTCTTTAGCAAGGAGGCTCATGGGAGAACCCTGGTCCCACCCAAGGGTTCTCATCACTGGTTGGTTCAACTCATGTGAGCTCTGTAGGTTGGAAAGAATAGAGAGCATCAGACATAGCCCATCGCTCTGAGAATATTCATGGAGGAGGGATCCCAGACTTTTAGGACTTCTGAACTCTTTTCTGGGCACCAGATTCCTTCACAGTGGCAACATTTGGAGTGAAGGCTTCCCTCTCCACATTTTGCACCTATTCTTGTGCTGCCTGAGGGAAACTCCATCACATGTAAACTAGAGATGCCTGTATCAGGATAGGTGCACACAGCAGCTCTTGAGCAATCCTCATCTCTCCGAATTGTTTTTTTTTCCAAAGCAAAGTAGAGAAGAGGGAATTAGCCAACGGACAGGGTCTTCATTTTTATAAACCTCCATGGCTAAGTCTGCCAGGAGCCTGGGGTGGGGACAGTGAGGACCTTTCATCCCCCAGCAGGCTCTTTTACTTCCTTAGCTGGTTTCCAAAGAACTTGAACCACTTGCCTCTAAGAGGATTTAGAATAATAAACATCTTTGCCAACACCAGAAATGTTTCTAAAAAGACCAATAAATCCTTCAGAACAAACAGATTTTCTAAGAGAACATCTTAAACAACTGGTGAAAGTGGCTCCATTGCAGGAGACCGCCAGTGTGGCTGTGACACTGGCTGCAATGATGGGAGGTGGCTCTGATGTGATCCCAGAGTCGCTCTTACAGTAGAACCAGCCTTTGGTTTCTGGGCACAAATGAATTCCAGGCAGTGAGTATTAAGCTGGGATATCAAAGGAGACGGCAGGTTAGGGGGCCATGCTCAGCTGACAGAGTGTCTGTGTAGCAAGCATGAAAACCTGAGTTCTAAGCCCCGGCAAGGCATGAACCAGGTGTCCCGGCATCACTTATAGTTAAAGTATTCTTCCAGTGGAGTCAGCAGGATCAGAGTGCAGGATCATCCTTGACTAGAGAATGAGGTAAGGGCCGATGTGGGTCATGTGACCTGAAGTTTCCCATCTTTGGGGGTCTTCAGTCGAATCCAGCCACTTGCCCTGAGAGGGAGAGTGTGGATTGAGAAACAGCAGGTAAAGATACCATGGAAAAGATAGAGACACAGAACAGAGTCAGGAGGGCAATCCAGTGAATCCTGAACGCCCCAAGTGTATTCTTCAGCATTCTAATATACCCAAACCAAAAAGGGGGGAGTGGCAAAAGACTTCTTTACCATGATACAATGAAGAAACAGACTTTCTTCCTCAAATCTCCCAACATTTAATAAACATGCCTTAGGCTAAATCTCTCATTATCTGGCCTTGAGGGTTAAGAGTAACAACAGCTCAGACCAAGTCTCTTATTATTTAGATCAGACATCCATGCCTTAGACCTTTAGGTCTTAAGACTTTAACCTTGGAAGAGTAAGGATAGTTTTGAACTCTCTGACCTTAAGCCAAGATGAAGCAAAGCCATTTTTATTGACCCTGGCATTTATTTATTTAAAAAATAAATAAAAAGAAAGGAAAATGAGAATTAAAATGGAGGAGGGGTAAAAAGAAATGTTATGTACATATGAATATGTACTTTTATATTTACATATATACACCCGTGTGTGTGTGTGTGTGTGTGTGTGTGTGTGTGTGTGTGTGTGTGTGTGTGTGTGTGTGTACACAGGCACATACAGGTGTTTCTTCACAGGGTCATAGGGTCATTTGTCAAAATCCCTTTGGCCTTCCTGTCTGGCTGCAAGTGAGAGAGGAGATAGCAGTCAATTTTTTGCCTGTCTGTGTTTGTTTGCTTGGTACTTGCAGAATCCTAAGAAGTATATGTTAACACTGTTTTCCCAGTAAGACAGACAGACAGACAAACTGGCATTCACATACAAATCCACATAATGTGGTTTTAATTGCTGTTTAGTGAGGGAACTCAAACTTGGTTGGTTGAGGATGAAGGGTTTTCTATAATTAACAGATATGTGTAACTAACCAAAAACTGCAGAAACTAATAAGAAAGATAGTTTGGTTCAGATAAGCAACTAACAGCATGCAGGGAAACTCAGGGACCTCGTTAAACTGTTGGCTGCCATGATATGGCCTGAAGTGAGGAACATTACTGTTCTAAGCTAAGGCCATCTGAGTGGAAAGGCAGCCACCCAAAAGGGTCACTTCTCTTTTGTGTCTTCAGTCCATTTTCTATCCCTTAGTTAGTGACAGTGACAATTTACAATTGTGGTTCACTCTTGCATACCAGTCCCATGAAAGCTGCAGTTGTTGGGAAAGGGTTGTTCCCTAGTGGTAAAGCATGTGTTTGGCATGCATGGTATTCTACAGCACCTAAACCCAGAACAGCAACAAAGAGGTAAGACAGAAGTTGGTTTTTTGTTTTTGTTTTTTAACCCACTATAAGGTTAAAAATAAGCTTCATAGTAATAATGATTGGTCAGGTCAGTCACCTTCTAAGAATAGCTCACAGCACTCTGTCTAGATGAGGGAACTAAGGCACAGAGCATTTAATAGCTACTAAGTGGGCACAGATCTGTTGTGTTCAAAGCCAGATCTACCCGATTTCAGAACTTGTCTGCTGTCCATTAATGGGACAGCATTTTCCAGTTCCAGAGAAAGTGATGCCACACATCACTTTTAGGGACTCTCTCTCTCTCTCTCTCTCTCTCTCTCTCTCTCTCTCTCTCTCTCTCTCACACACACACACACACACACACACACACCTTTCATATTTTTCATGGGAAATAGTCCACAACTCCTACACAGCTTCCTAGATCTGTTTACTCTAAAAAAAATATGTTTATGACTTGGACAAAGTACAGGAAACCATGACTTGTGGTCTGAACAACTAGCCAAAGATAGTTTCTTTCAAGCAGGAAGGTATATATGGGACTTTCAGTACTGGTAGGTTTATGCATTGCTAACCCAGTGATGCATAAAAGGTTGAGAGCAAGACATGGTACTGAGCTTGAATTCACTCACCAGTTTCTCCTCATGGCAGAGCTAATTCAAGAATGTTGTCAGTTTAGGACTGGTTGAGTCTGGAGAGAGGTGTGTGTATGAGAGAGTGGCGTCCTAGATTTTATTTCCAGCATGGGGGTTGAGGGAAGTTCCTTCTCTGTGGTCCCATAGAATTTGAGTGACATTGTGCTTCTCTGTCCCCAGATAAGCCAGATCCCCCAGCTGGCACACCTTGTGCATCTGACATTCGGAGTTCCTCGCTGACCCTGTCCTGGTATGGCTCTTCCTATGATGGAGGCAGTGCTGTGCAGTCTTACAATGTTGAGATCTGGGACACGGAGGACAAGATGTGGAAAGAACTAGCCACATGCCGCAGCACCTCTTTTAATGTCCAAGACCTGCTGCCTGACCGCGAGTATAAATTCCGTGTACGTGCAGTCAACGTCTATGGAACCAGCGAGCCGAGCCAGGAGTCTGAGCTCACAGCCGTGGGAGAGAAACCTGAGGGTAGGCTGCCTTCATTTCCTCATGGGCTTGAAATAAATATGCATGCATTTGGAGAGAGTCCACAGAGGAAGGGAGGTTCAGAGAGAGAGAGAGACTGGATATAGAGAGGTGCCTGGCAGGGCCTTTAGTAGGCTTGATTTCTAAAACTGTGTTGCTGACCCATACTTTGAAAAGTTCATAGGGCCTTTCGAGAACTCATTAGCCAAGACACCGAGGATGTAGTTCAGTGGCAGGATACCTGTGTAGGATATGATATATGATGTCACTGATATCACACTAATGACAGCATTGTGCTAGAAATGTTGTCACCCTGCCACCAGAGGGTGATGATGTGTTAATCAGCTGGCAGGCAGACCCCAGGCTCCTGTGTCACCTCTCATCTCTTCCCTGCTTCTGTTGCTCTCACAGGTGAGTGACTGCTCAATGTCAGGATTTATGATACAGGACAGATAAGAGAGGGAACATAAGTTGAAGGAAGACTACATGGGCAACTACAATGAGACAGAATGCATCTCACTAGGGTGATGTAAATAAAGGCATGAAAGGACAGCACAGTAAGCATGGAAAATCTTGCCAGGGAGGCTGAAAAGCTTCTTGGAGGAGGTGACCCTTAAGCTGTGTCTTGGAAAAGGGACTGAGAAGTGGGGGAGAGAAGGAAGGGCATTCCACACAAAGGACACAGCCTGAGCGAGGGTAGGAAATGACAGAAACAGGTGGCATTTGAGAAGCTTAAGTGTGGCAGTATAGTGAGGGCATATGCTATGTGAGACAGAACAGAAGGAAGTGAAAAGGGGAGTTTAGATAGAATTACAGTATTCGCTAAAGCTTTGCAGACAAGAGATTGAGACGATGTGGCTGGTCTTTTAGAAAGCAAACTCAGTGACGTAGTAGAGCGTTGCCATTCAAACATGGCTGGAGAGTGGCAGCCTTGTGTATTCTCAGCCCAGGTGTCCTGAGGCTTCCTGAAGATTCATTTTGACACACTTTGCTCCTGAAGGCATTCATATACCCATGAACATTTGAGAAGCCTTAGGGTTGGTGATAGATTAGAAGGATGAGTCTGGAGTTAGGCAGGTACTGATGACCCTCTGTGACCATAACCTAGTAGAGGGATGGGAAGAGCATGAACTAAATCCCTGTAGTATAGAATGGACCACTCTTGATTTTGAGTTGAGGAGGTTAGAGAGAGAAGAGGATTCTAAGATGACTCCCTAGCTCCTGGCTTGGATAACTAAGCGCACATCAAGAGACAATTAGAGATGTGCTGTTTTAAATCATGTGGCTAATGCTAGCTATTGGGCGTCTGCCATATGCTAACAGCATCCTCATCACTGTGCATTCTCCATTTCATTTAGTCATAGTAGCCCGGTAACACAGACATTGCCATTTCCCTCCTCTGACCAAGGGAAATGGAGACAGAGGAGTGGAACTTTTTGCCTAAGGTCAGAGAGCTTGTGAATGACTATGAGTAGAAGTGTGAACGCAAAGCTGTCTGGCCCAGTGCATGTTTTCCTTTGGTCAGGTTGAAGGAAGAGGTTAGTCAGGCTTATTCCCCACTGGCTCAAGGAACTTGAAGGTTAGATAACAGAGAACCTAGGAGATGATGAATGTTTTAGTTGCAGAGTAGTTTAGAGGGATACTCAAAGGGAGGGATCTTTGGGCCACTAAGTCCCAACATTAGGAGGAAGGATCAAACAAGGGCTATAGATTTGGAAAGCTTTGCTATTTAATGGACAACTGGGTAAAACCAATAAGGTCACCCAGAGGTTAGAAAAGGTCAACACAAATGCCATAGTGTGAAAGCCTGTGGGACTAGAAGAAAGGACTATAAGAAATCTGGAGTTCATTGTGGACATAGGGAGGGAACAAGTTGCAAGTGCACGGCATTAAATCCTAAAGACAAAGAGATAGGGACTGGGGATCATTGGAATTGCCTGTTGTTTGGTAGCGATCTTTGAAATACAAGTCCATAGAGTTTCCACAGAGTTGCCCTGGTGAGGGAATGGATGGAAGAGAGGCCAGAGTATAGGGTGTTACTCCATTTTATGCAACGAGAGGGAAAAGAGCGCTGTGGATTTAAGACAGAGAAGGTGGAGAACAGAAGGGATAGTGCTCTTGGAGAGATAGTCAGGGTGTCAAGTAGACAGCACAGTGGGACACTAAGGTATCAAAGGAGACAGGGAGAGACCTATCCCAGAAGTACCATGTAACCCAGGGCATCCTGTGTGTGTTGCTGTCTTTATGATAATATCCTGGCTTTCCAAAATGAGGTATAAAACAGCTCTCAGTTGAGGCCTCCAGAAGGAAGGAGGTAGATGCTAGGAGAAAACACACCACCTTCATGCTGCCATCCAGCCACCTGTGTGCTGGGTACCTTCACCTTTGACCCCTCAGGATGGACACAGGCAGGGTTCCCTGATAGCCACAGTCACCACAGAGGAAGCTGGCCTGGGCCCTGGCTCAAGGAAGCCATCCACTGGCTGCTTACAAATGTATGTTGGGGGAAACTGAGTAACAAAGCTACCGTCTGCTGCCTCTTAACACTCTAACACAAGCACACGCACACTCGTGTGCGTACACACACACACACACACACACACACACACACACACACACATACCATCCTTCTGCACTGCACAACTTAGGGAGCAGGCAGGATAGAATGGGGAAGGGAGTATTTTTAGGTATTATTTTGGAAGTGACAGATAACAGAGAAAATCTGTTCATTGGCTGGACTTGAAGTCACCCAGGCCCTGCTGTAGAAGCCTGAAGAAACCAGAATCCCTCATCAACCCCAGGTTCCTGATGGAGGTGAGGCATGGCTTTCGGGAGGCCGGAGCTGTACCACCCAGGATTATGGGGAGTGCCATGCTGATGGGCAGTGACCTTGTCCTTGAACTCCACAGCAGGCAGTCTTATGTAGCCTCTAGAACCCCCTCCCACTGCGGCAGATAAACAGAAGTGGGGAATTGCCTGAAATCCAAAGGAAGGCTCTAGGCCACCCAGGGCTTCCAGACAGGAAGCTACTCCCACTCCAGGCCCAGTTGTCTTATCCAAAAGGGAGGAGGAGGGGAAGGACAGTTCACACAAGCTAGGCCTGAGAGTAGAGACAAGGGTGAAGGGGTGAAGAAGAGGAGGAAGGAAAGAGGAGAGGAGGGTAGCGATGCCCCAAGCCAAAGTTCTTTGTGCGTTCCTTGGGTGCTGTGAGTTATAAGCAAGGGTAGCTCTCTCTACTTAAAGGGAAAATGGCTCTCTGAGAAGTGTGGTGGGGAATGAGTTTGGAAGCATTAGTGGACAGGATGGGAGAAGTAGAAGCCATGGAGGCGGCTTCAGTGGCGTATGGGCTATGAGGGTCTTACTAAAAGTGATGCTGATTAACCCTCACTCCACAAAGCCCAGCTTGTGTTGACCGACTTATAATTCTACCATCACTCTTGTCCTGGCAGCTTCCATCTTCTGTTTCATCTTGAGCTTGGTTTCCATCTATTTAAAACCCACCCCTCACCCCATTCACCCATAGGCGTCCTGTGTCCCTCCAGTGTTGCTGGGGCTGCCCTGGACACTGGGGATACAGTGGGAGACTGAAAAGGAGGACCTCCCACCAACTCCAGTGGCTTCCTTATGACAGAACCATCTTTCAGACCCCTGACCTGACAACATCTCCCCGCCCCCCCCCCCATGATGTTTCATTCCAGCTAAGTCTTAGGTCCCACTCCCCTGCTAACTCTGCTCAGACTTTGAAGTCCCCTCCATCCTTGCCCCTACTCCTAATTTGTTCTAGGCTACAGAGTTATTAGCAAAACAGCTGTGGCTGAGGCTTCTTGCCAGTCAGCTCCTTGCACCCAAGAGCAGTTGGAACTACACAGCTAGGCTGAGGCTCTGCAAGGCTCCCAGAAACCTTCGCCAGAGACACGCTACCCTCTAGTGTTCACTGAACACATTGCAGTCCTCTGTACAGAAAGAGACAGAGCTCTGTGGTGGAGACTTGATTGGGCCTGCTTTGTGAGGGGCCCCAGAGCTTTGCTGACCGTCTCCTAATGCCATCCTGGGGAATGAGGTTCACTGGTTACAGAAGTGTCTCAGAGCCCTCTTCTGAACAGCTCTTCTCCTGAGCTCTTGGTTCTATGGCTCATTCTAAATAGAGTTTTTAAAATTGTGTGTATGTGTGTTTTGCCTGCATGTATGTCTGTGTACCACATGCATGCCTGGGGTCTGAGGAGGTCAGAAGAGGGCATCAGATCCCCTGGAACCGTAGTTAGAGTCAGTTGTTAGTCACCATGTGGGTGCTGAGAATCAAACCTGGGTCCTCTGGAATTGCAGCCATTGATCTTAATCCCTAAGCCATCTCTCCAACTCACTAAATAATTGCTTAAAAACGTATTTGGTTGAAGTCCTTTCTTTTATAATTTTATCTCCTTCCTCCATGGGAAGAGTTAAGCCAAGGTCTAATCTTTGAGATGGCTACCACTGTTTATGGTCCAGGAGCTCAACTCACTGAACTGTGATTTCCCTCAAGTCATCTCCTACTCTCCACTCTGTTCATCTTGCCCCACATCCAAAAAGGAGGCAAGATGAGAAGGCAGACTCCAGCATCCCTGGATCTCAGTGAGTTCTCTCAGAGGAAGGCTACCCTGAGCAATACAGAGGGCAACTTGAATCTCTAAGAAAAGGGGTTGGTCCCCAGCTACAGTACATAAGCTGTGAGGTATGATGGTAGACCTGGTGCTCACACAGGTGGGCAGGCCAGGAAGACAACTCTTTGATTGGAGGCAGGGTAATGGGAAGAAGCCAACTCCAGAACTTAGTCCCTCTCCAAGGCTGGCTGAGAACAATACCCTGTGCTAGGTGGCTGGAAGGTCCTCCTAGTAGCTCATAGCACATGCCACTCTGTCACAAGCAGAGCACAAAAGTGGACACCAGGCCAAGAAAGCCTGCCTTGGCTTTCCTGCACTCTGCTGCTTAGAACACTCTGTCTCCACACCAGCAGAATATAACAGGGGACAAAGAAAATGAAGGGTGATCATCAAATTAAATTAGAACCACTCTTTCAGACGAGACAACACAGGTCAGAATAATGGGGCTTCCTGGTAGGAAATGCTGTTTCCTTGATGGTAAGACCTGGGTGAGGGACTAGCATCTACCAGGTAGTCATGGACACTGGGTTGGGGGTGACTAGCATCTACCAAACAGTCATGGACACTGGGTGGGTGACTAGCATCTACCAGATAGGTAGTCATGGACCATAGGACCTGAATCACTGGACTTGAATCTCTGCTTCTTTTACAACCCCGTGTGAAACATCATCACTGAACTAGTCTGAGCATCTGCTGACCCTCTTGTTATATATAGTGCATCCTGGTTTCCATGCCTCCAATCCTCCTGTGTGAAGCATGACGTGAATGACCCCACACACACACACACCGCCGGCTTACAGTGTTCATAAGTGGTAAACATCTGTAGCCTTGTTTTCACTCACATGACTTCCTTTTACAACCATGTCCCCACCTCTTCTGACTGTCTTGCCACAGCAGTTCAGGCATCTGTTGAGCTCCATCATAGCCTTCTAGCTGCCCACAGATCCCAAAGCTCTACTAAGGGCCACAGGCTGATCCACCTGTTGTCCCCAGTACATTGTTCTGTTGGCCAGAGCCACATGTGGAAAAACTGCTCTTGGAGTGTGCTTCGCAGCATTCCTGAGGACAACACTTCGGGGGCAGAATGAGGCAGTCCTCCCTGAGCACTCACTTTTAAGGCCTGGGAGCACTGCTCTTGCGTCATCCTTGTCATTGCTGAGTTGCACAGTGCCACTCGGTGCCAGCTGTATGGATTCCAAAGAATGATCAATTAGCTCCCCTCTGCACCCCAACACTGTCCTCATCTGCCTTGCCCACTTTGCTTTCCCATGGCTGTTCTCTGTGTTGTTCTTCCCAGGCCCCTTGTGTTTAGGTTTCTAAAACTAAACTTTGTCAGCAGCATTTTAAGAACTCTAAACAGATCACAGCTTCTGGTTTTATGCTCATAAACTCTCGGAACTCTTTTTTGGCAAGAGGTACTTACCTTATGTGGGCCTGGGTTAGTTTTCCTCCCGTTGTCTGTTTAGATCCCGGCGTGTTCTGCCCTGGGTCTGAAGGATGCACTTGCCGTCCACAGGTCCAGCTGCACCTGCTTCCTGGTCCTCACCTCTACCACAGATGAGGGCCTTGAATGCAGAGCCCAGCATGCTGGTACCCAACCCTCCCCACCAGACGTGTTTAACAAGGCCTCTGCACTGTTCTCACAAGACAAGACCCCAACAGCTGCCCCCCCTCAGCCTTGCTCTGGTGGCAGCTTCAGCAAGTCAGCCTTTCCTCCCAAGTCTTACTTCCACACTCTAGGACACTTCACACTGTCACATACACACACACACACACACACACACACACACACACACACGCCTTAACTTACACTTATGCACTGATATTATTCCACCACACATTTGTACATGCCACACTATCTCACACACACATACACATACATATGCACGCATGCACACACACACACACACACACTCAGGCAAATGCACACTCTCATGCTGTCTCTCACATGTATATTTTACACTTTTACACCAACACTGTCCCGCACACATTCACTCACATGTGCGCACACATATAAATATGTCCTAGCCACACTCACATACCTCCACGCGATGCCACATACATGTAGCTACACTTCGACACTAGTCTAATACCTACAGCCAGATACTTTCACACAGACCTGCGCTCATATAGTCCATACACTTCCATGCTATCACACACACGCCTCTGTGCCATCCACATACACAGTCACACACACACACACGCACACACACACACACGCGCACACGCACACGCACACACACACACACACACGCACACACACACACGCACGCACACGCACGCGCACACACACACACGCGCACACACACACACACACGAGGCACACATTCCTATGCCGTCCCATGATATGCACTTACACACCGCCACACTCGGCCTCCATGCTGCCCTGCACACTTACACTCACACCACTCGATAATACCCCGTATACGCACCTTGTCACAGACTTCCACATGCATGTATTCTCACACACTTGTCCCTATCCTGTGCACACATACCCTCTCAGCAGACTGTCTTGTAAATAAACCCCCACACAGATATTGAGGTCACACAGTTTCTAACTGTCTGATGTGTGCACACTCACGCACATCCATACTAACCCTCTCACCCATGCTCACACACTTCTTGCCGGCTCACACGTACGCACCCCCACATCCTTCTAACACCCCCACACTCATATTCACACACTTCCCCCACATGCTGTCATTCTCTCACATATTTCCACGCTGTCGTCATCGCACTCACGCGCTTACACACCTTCTCGAGGACACATGCCCACACACATCCTCTCTCCTGTGTATTCCCACATACCCCCCCACACTCACGCATTTCCATTTTGACGACCTTTGTCATCACTTTTTTTGCCACGTCCCCACTCTGTTTCCTCAGGACACCACCTCCCTGCATCCATCTGTCAGTCATGGTCTCCACGATGGCTGAGGGAACACAAAGCTTTACACAATGTAGCCTATAGTGGTAGTCGGGCCACTAGAGGTCACCTGTACAGTTCCTTCCTTTTACAGACAAGGAGACTGGGGTCCAGAAAGGGAAAGATATTAGCCAAGATCAGGAAGTTTGTATGTGCGAGAGCGGCCGGCATGGGTCACACATGGACACTTGCTGGCTTCATCTGTGTGCCGTCATTTGTCCTCACTGTATTCCATCTTCTCCTGGGAGGCCACTCAAGGGCTTCCTCTGAGAACAATTGCAGGCTTTAGCATTGTCCTTTGTTGTGTTACCTTCCTCACTGTGCATTTGGTGCCACAATGGTGTATGCTTCGTTATATGACATATATGACCGATACTTTAAGTTTCTATGTTTTTGCCTATGCAAGTAAATACAAGCTTCAGAGAGGGAGGGGAGACTATGCCTTGTGTGTGTGCTTTATTTTATGTATCCATACAACTGCCAAGATGCTTGCTATACTGCTAGAATTCAAAAATGTTCAACTGATGTATAAACATACTTAACAATGAAAGTAATTATAGGTTGCTTGCTTTCAAGCCATGGAAAAAATGGGACTGTCACAGTTGTATGTAGGTTCTGAAATCCCAGAGAAGAAATGTGGAAGGGGAGCTGTCTGGGGGATCACTGGGTGAGAGGAGGGGATGATGGTTAGATGTGGTGGAGGAGTGGGGCTGAGATGAGGAGGCCAGAACTTGCCAGTCTGCATCTGGCTCTTTTGACAGTAAGGACTGGCCCACTTCGAGGGATGCCCATGTGATTCGGGTGTGCTGGCACCTGGAGAAGCCCACAGCATGCCTTGCTCTAGGTGGCCTTCAGTACTAATCGCAATGCCCTTTCTGTCCCTCCTTTGTCTCCTCCAGAGCCAAAAGATGAAGTGGAAGTGTCAGACGATGGTAAGTGAGGCCAGCTGCCTTTGGGACAGGCTCTTGGGATGGAGGGGCTGAGAAGGGAGAATCTGATGGCTCACACTCACCCTGACCTGTGCCCTGCAGATGAAAAGGAGCCTGAGGTCGATTATCGGACAGTGACAGTTAATACTGAACAGAAAGTATCTGATGTGTATGACATTGAAGAGCGACTAGGATCGTAAGTGGAGTTCAAAACTGCCTCTGGGCCCCAGGGTGAGGGTGGTGCAGAACCCACAGTTCACCCCAGTGCCTCTTCCTGTGCTATCATAAACACAGCTTCCTCCAAAACTGAGAGCCTATAGACTCACAAGCCCATCCCTCACCAGGGACCTTCTCTGGAGCTACTCCTGTGGTTCTGTACAGGCTCAGCTCTGTAGGAGCCTTAGGCCAGGCCTTCTGTGCCTCTTCTCACAGCACAGCACTCAAACAGAAGGACCAGACCTGAATCAACTCTCTTCAGCATCCCTTGCATTGGGTCTGAAGTAGCTGGGCCTGGTGAGCACCTTCTCCGCAGCGGTAGCAGCTTTGGGGTTGCACTAGCATGCCCAGTGAGCCTCACAGTCCCTAGATGAACTTGCCATGTGCTGCCATTGACTGTCCTCCCTCTCTAGGACATAAAAGACACCAGTCCTCAGTCACAAACAAGCTATGCATCTCCCCCCAACTCTCAGTCTCTGGGGAAGTATAAGAAGAGAAAGAAAGTGAATAGTGGGTTGGGGTAGGGGGCATGCAGCTTAGTTGGTAGAGTGTCTGCCTAGCAGGCCCAAGGGCCTGGATTCCACCCCAGCTCCACGCAAACCATATGTGATAGTACACATCCCAGCACTGAGGAGGTGAAGGCAGGAGGATCAGAAGTTCCAAGTCAAGGTCGTCATTAGGGACATAGTGAGTTTGAGGATACTCTGGGCTATATATGTTTAAGGCCAAAAAAAAAAAAAAAAAAAAAAAAAAAAAAAAAGACAACATGGCTCAGCTTTTATTTCTGTCGGTTTATGGGAACTAAGGGCACAATGTAGGCCTCTTATCAGCTCTGGGGAGGAAGTCATACTGTTGAAATCAGAAGAGCTCCCAGAGGGGAAACCGGTCCCTCTTCCACTGCCAGAGCATCCGTGCTAGAGTGGAGTGGGAGGAAGACAGCCATTCAGGGGTTCCATATTTGGAAAGGAAGACCTCAGGGGTCCCAGTACAGGGAAGGGAAGAAGTCCACCCTTAAGATTAAGTAGGAAGGCCTTCATTAGTCAAGAGTGTTTTAGGTCTGTGAGCCGTATACCTGGGTCTCGGCTCCTCAGCCATCTAGCCGTGGACAATATGTAACTGACAGGTGTGTGGTTGTGTCCCAATAAGCCTCTACTATGAATGCAAAGAGTAAGGCCAGTTCTGCCTCATGGGCTGCGTTTGTAAAGAACGCAGCTCAACTTGGCTTTTCTCTTCTCTTTCAATGACAGTGGGAAGTTTGGACAAGTCTTCCGACTCGTGGAAAAGAAAACTGGAAAGCCCTGGGCAGGGAAGTTTTTCAAGGCCTATTCTGCCAAGGAAAAAGAGAACATCCGGCAGGAGATCAGCATCATGAACTGTCTGCACCACCCCAAGCTGGTCCAGTGCGTGGACGCCTTCGAAGAAAAGGCCAACATCGTCATGGTTCTGGAGATGTGAGTGGCACTGTAGCCTGAGAGCCCCATCTGCCCCCCGCACCCCACAACCTGCCTCCCTCCTGCTGTCCCAGCCCGACCCCCTTCACCACACAACACGGTATGACGGGCAAGATACTCACCAGCACCATGACCAGGGCTGACCAGTGAGGACCAGAACTGGCCCTGACCCACTGGGCAGCAGCCTGCCAGCAGCCTTGGGACCCCTGTAAGCTTTGTCCTCTTGTTTCTTTGTGAAACAGCTCAGTGGAAAGTAGGGAAGGAAGGAACAGGGCAGCTTCCTGCCTTCCTTGCAAAAGAGAAAGGAGCCCAGATTTGGGAGCTCAGAGTTCTGAAGCGGAGCCCTCTCTCCAGCCCTTCATTGCTTCTTACTGCCCCCTGCTCCTCCCTGTTGAACAGAGCAGTGCTTTCTCCACTGGGTTATACAGAGGCTGAGGGTGGAGCCCATGACTTGCAGTCAAGGCTTCCCCAGAGTCATTGTCTCCTCTCTACCCCAGACATCCACCTCCCTCATAAGCATACACACACATCATTAAGCCAGGTGTCCCTCACAGGCACCTGCATTTTTCATGGGCTTCTTTTTCTGAACCTTATTTTTTTGATATATAAAATCACATTAAATATTTAAGGAAATACACAACAGAGTCTTACTCCCACCCATTCACTCACCTTCCCTGTTTCTACACCACCGGAGATAAACAGTTTTATTGGGTTTTGCTGTCTTCTTCCAAAGTTCTTTATGAAAATGCAAACATAATATAATGTGTATTTTTACTGTCCTGCCTTTTATCACAATGTATGACTTGAACTCACTGTCCTGCAGCAGGCAGTTTTCAGTAAACTGCTTCCATAGCAAGCCCTGTGTGCTCTAAGCTCCAGGGGACCTCACTGTACACACACACACACACACACACACACACACACACACACACACCCACACACACACACCACACACCATCTTCTGAGCTCTGAGGCTCCTCTCTGTACACACACCACATCACAGTGCATGTGTTTTCCAAGCTCTGAGGGTCCTCATTGTACACACACCAAATTGCAGTGCATGCATCTCCAAGATTCGAGAATCCTCACTGTACACACACACTGTCCACTGAGCTCTGAGGGTCCTCCCTGTACACACTCCACATCACAGTGCCTGCATCTCCAAGATCCGTGGGACCTCACTGTTCAAACATGCCACATCACAGTGTGTGTGTCTTCCGAGATCCGAGGGTCCTCCCTGTGCATACACCACATCACAGTGCGTACTTTTTAGCTGACTTTTTGATAAGAGAGATCAGAAGGTTTCTAGTTTTTTTTTTTTTTTTTTTTTTTTTTTTTTTTTTGCATCTGCAGACATTGCTTGCAGTCTCACTCACCTGTGTTTTCACTGACACCTGTGCATACCCGTAGCTTGCATCCCAGAAGTAAAGCTGCGCAGGGTGAAAGGGCACGGTCACTTGAGGGCTTTCGAAGTATTTTAGAACTGCAGTGAACAACCTGAACTTTGGAAACAGTTCTTTAGAGAAGACAAGCAGTTACTCTGGCAGGCATTCTTTCCCTGGAAGGACGGGGCCTGAGAATGCAGTGTGCCTCTTCTCTCCCCTCGTCACAGTGACATTCGGCATGCTCCTCCCAAAAAGTGCTCTTCGGACAGAAAAAAAAAATGGTTAAAAGTGCAGATCTGAGTCAGATAACCCTTACTCAGACCCCACCCCACCTCTCATAGCTTTATCGTTTGTAGAAAAACCTGTTGATCCCTCATGATTGCTGTGGGATTAAGTGAAATCGTGGCTATGAGTGAGGCTCAGTGCTCAGCCATAGGCAGCTATTAGAAGAAAGATAAGTTGACTTTTTCTATATCCTGGTCTGTTTTCCACTTTAAAGTATCCTGAGAGCATTTTAACATCTAAGCAGATGCTGTGGAGCAAGTCCCTTCTAATACCCAGGAAGCCTGCCTTCAAGCTCTGTTACTATTGAAATGTGATTTTTTTTTTAATTGTTCAGCACTACCAGCCAAAAGGTATTTAGATTAAATAATCTCAAGGCTCTCCACTTAGCCATAAAATTCTACTGTCTGTGGAACCATAAAAGACTCAGAGAACATTTTCACTAATATCTTATGGTCAAATTCACCACCCCACCCCCCTTTAGGAATACTGAGTCCCTGTCTGTGACCCTGTGGCAGTTTTCAGTATCTTCGTGGGCTGAGATTTCACATTTTTTCTAGAATGACTTGCTTAGTCCAAGCAGTGTGGGTATGTGAAGTCGTGGGGGAATGCTTTATCTTTAGAAGTTAAACCTTGAGCAAGTTTGTGTGGGGGGGGGGCAGGAGGCAGGCCAGCCTGGGTAAGGCCAGGCAGCGGCACCAGTGGGCAGAATACCATACTTAGCTTGGAATTGGGACTTGGCAAGCTGGGTGGAAAAAGCAGAGAAATGTAAGGAGGTTTCAGCTGGTCTGGCTTTCATCCCTGCACCCCACTCCTCCCCCACGGACAGAACGAATCTCACAAGCACAGATGCCAGATTAGCCTCTTTTGAGGGCCAGGAACTTGCCCTGTGATAGGAACTCAACCAGATCTCATCCTCCACCGGATTACCCTTCTAACCTAGTTTAGCACATGGCCACAGACAGGGGAAAGGGTGACAGTCTGCAGGGCAATTTTATGTTCTTGTTCGATGGAGAAACTGAGAATAATTAAATATATTCTGCAGCCCCTGCCTCAGATATGTGGGTAATAAAGGAAGAGCATGTCTACAGCCTGGCTGACTTTGTTTCTGGACAAGCCCCAATTGTACAACGGCAACGGTTCTTCTGGCTGCTGGCCTGGGTCTGGGCTTGCCTTTTCGGAAGTGGTGGTGGGATTCAGAGCCCTGAAGAGGATATGAAGTTTCAGCTGGGTCCCTGGGGGGTGATGTCATCTTTGTTCTGCTGTTAGCAAGGTTTATACAGGAGCATCTAGCTGGCTGCCAAGAGACAAGGAGTAGAGACCGGGCACCAAGTCCCTGGATAGCATTGTCCTCTCTGAATGCCAGGGAAGCCTTGCATTTTAACATCTAAGCAGATGCTGTGGAGCAAGACCTAGAGCTCTGGGGATAAGTTTGGTCCCTTGGGATGGGTAGTGTTGGTGACAGTAAGCATCCATTCATTTACTCGGTATCACTCATTATCAGTTTATTAAGAACACATTTCATCTGGCCCATGTCTGTGGGTAGCAGCCTTTAGCAAACCAGTATCTTCTCCCTGCAGTCTTAACGATTTTGGAGAGAAACCTACAGAACTATGAAAATTGATGTTTAACTCCTTCTATACCAGGAAGTGACTAAAGAAATGCTTTAGAAATATATTAGATACAGCTGAATAGGCTTGAGCCTGTGTGAACTAATATGGAATAAGTTACCTACGTCTAGAAATGCAGCCATATGAGCTTCATGGCTTAGACCTCTACGCCTATTGCTCAGAAGTCCCCTGGGAAGTTGAACTAATGGCTGCTTTCCAAGAACAGTTTAAACTTAGAGGCAAACATTTGGGGGCACCTTGTCTGTGCTGCATGCTGGAAACTGCAAGTGAGAGCCTGGAGATGCAGCTGTGATGACCAGCCACTGAGACAAGGCAAGCTTGATACAAACAAAAAGCACAGACAAGACATGGAGACCCTCAAAAGGAAGGGTCATTTGTGTGGAATAGGGAGGAGTTTCTCCAAGAGCTTGAGTTTCAATTCCTCACAGGAGCCATAGTAGAATAAGTGGGGGTGTCTCACACATGTCTGGTCATTGGAGTGACCCAGAGTTTTCTAAAATATGGAGGCTTGGATTCCTCACAAGACTTTACAAAGTCAAGTCTCTGAGGGAGGATGTTGAGAGTCTGTAGTTTCTCTTTTTTATATATGATTTTTAAAATGATGTATTTGCTTTATTTTATATTCATTGGGATTTTGCCTGCATGTGTGTGTGAAGGTGTTGGATCCCCTGGAGCTGGAGTTGCTGATAGTTGTGAGCTGTCCTGTGGTTGCTGGGAATTGAACCCAGGTCCTCTGGAAGAGAAGTCAGTGCTCTTAACCCATAGCTATCCTGCTAACCCCAAGGATCTGTATTTTCAACATAAACCCAACAGATTCTTTAAAATGAAAAAGATATTTTGCATGCTAGTATCCTTCTGGGTACTTTGTAGTGTTAACTCAGTCCATTTTGGAGCAAATCTGTGAGGTGGTGGTAGTTTTGTCTATATCTTACAGATGAAGATATTAGGGTGTGGCCTAACAATAGAGGTTGTCTTAGAGCAGTGGTTCTCAACCTTCCTAATGCTGTGAACCCTTTAATGGAGTTCCTCATGTTTTGTGGTGACCCCTGACCATAAAATTATTCCGTTGCTCATAATTGTAATTTTCCTACTGATGTGAATCGTAATGTAAATATGTAGTATTCAGGACATCTGATATGTGACCTCTGTGAAAGGTCATTTTACCCACAAAGGGGTCGTGACCCACAGGTTCAGAAACACTGCCTTAGAGCCTTCCGGGAAATCAGTAGACATGAAGGCTGCAGGACAAGAGGCGCCACCTGCTGGCTATGAAGGGTCTTTCTTCTCTGGGTGGGTCTAAAGTGTCTGTTTTAGCTCCTTCTAGTGGCCAGGAATACTCATGACCTTTACCCTACTCAGCGCTTCCAAAGGATCCTATGACGATAGAGGTATACAGGCTCTGATGTCTGCTGGTCAGTATCCCCTGCAAGGGTCAGTGACAAGGAACTACCTGGCCCAGAGTCACAGCTTGTGAAACTCCGAGACTGGATTCACACTGTGCATTCATGCTGGCTCCTCTTAGAAGTACCACATCTTGTGCTTACGGTAGTAAAAGTGGACCGACAGGTCACTGTAGAAAACTGTGCTTCCTGATCCCTGGGTGTCACACAGGTGACCAAGAGTAGGCTTTAAACTTTCTGAGCAGCGAGCGGGGAGAGTGGGCTTAGAGGTCTGCAATGAGGGCATCACAGAAGACGGTACACCTCAGACATCAGGGCTGTGCATTAGCGAGGGGCCATATGCTGGCCACCTGAAGTTAGCAGTGGATGCCCAGATGTGGGTCCTGGGAGCAGAGTGGATTGCACATGCCGGGGACATAAGGTCTACCAGGTAGGAGGAAGACAAGCTAGCTACGGCTGGAGAGAACAAATGCGGATCTGTTACAGCTGCTACCGCAACAGGCTACATCAACTAGTTCCAGAACATTTGCTGAGGACTCTCATTATCAAAGACAGTTTTCTCTTCCTGGCTATGCAAATATATTCTTAGATTCTATAGAAAAGTGGATATTTGAAATGTCAGATCCCTGTACCTAAAAGGCATAGCTGGTACCTATGAGAGAAAAAGACTGCTTGGGATCACCCTCCTAAATAAGGCAATCTTGTCCTCCTTTCTCTGTTTATGCCTGGCCTGGGGGCCTTCCCAGATTTCCGATGCTTCCCTGAGCCCTCTGGTAGCCTGGCAGGTGCATGTGTAGAAGAATGAATGAGGCTTGGAAAGCTGCAGAAATTTGGCACGTGTGCCACCAGCATGTGCTCACACAGACACCCTTGCCTACCTTGGCAGAGTACCCTGCCATTCTGGTGCCCGGAATCCTATGGTGTGACTGCAGTGTCTTTTCCGATCCCTCGTGTCCCCACAGCGTGTCAGGGGGTGAGCTGTTTGAGCGCATCATTGACGAGGACTTCGAGCTGACGGAGCGAGAGTGCATCAAGTACATGAGGCAGATTTCGGAGGGGGTGGAGTACATCCACAAGCAGGGCATCGTGCATCTGGACCTCAAGCCCGAGAACATCATGTGTGTCAACAAGACAGGCACCAGGATCAAGCTCATCGACTTCGGCCTGGCGCGCAGACTCGGTAAGGCCATCTATCTGTCGTGGCGGCAGTGACCGGGCGCCTTCTATGCACCGCGTGTTGGGAATGGACGGTGTTGAAGCCAAAGTCAGAGACCAGTAAGATTTCTCAGGCTCAAATCCAGCCCCTACCGCTTCCTGCTGGATCACTCTAAGCCGCAGATTCCTTTTCTGTAAGGTGCACTAAACAGTTCCTGCCCCATGGAGGTGTTAGGCCCCTAATGCACAATGGCAATAGTCCTTACATGCACTAAGCCACCAAGCACCCTGGCATTAACTATGTATTTGGTGATGGTGATGCTGCTGGTGGGGATGTTGGTGATGATGATGATGATGACGGTGACAAGGACTCAATTTTGGTGATGACAGCTTCTCACGTCTGCATTATGTTACAGTTTGCAGAGTACTGTCACATTAAAATAGAATGTCTAACCAGCCTCATTCATTCTTACCTGGAGGAGGATGTATTTGAGGAGATCAGGGTTCTCCAAAACTTTGCCCAACAGGTTCCAGTGTGAGGCTGGCTGGCATAGGAACCCGGGACCCATCTCAGCATGCTATCAATGCCTTGCTGTTTCACCCCAACTTCTGACATCTTCAGCAGGAAGAAGGTTTAGGGAAGTGGTTAGAACTTCCAGGCACTGTAGTCTTTATGGTCAACAACTGCGCCTCGGGTACCCCCTGCCTCCACGGCTTTCTGATGTCTGTCATTGAGCAGCTTCTTTCTCCCCCTCCTAGACACTTCTGTGAATACAGAACCACAGGGCTGGAGTGAGCTAGTCTTTGTTTCACCACCCTGTGAGAAGCAGGAAATAGTTAAACACGATAATGCCACCTGGTAAACCTCCCAGGACTTCCAGGGTTATGTTGGTCAGTGAGGACAGTGAGGGCATGAGGTCCTCACAGGCATGGACTTGTTTTACAGTCAGCCCAGTGAGGCCAGAGCCCTCTCTGATACTGAACAGATGTGCCTGTTCTACGCTCTTTTGCCACCAGGATGGGTAGGATGATGGCCAGCACATAGGACCTTCCTCTGGACAATAATCGCCAATAAGTGGAACAAATAGGGAAGCGCTGCCACGGGAGCTGTCAGTGACAGAGCCCAAGGAACACAATGTTCCAGTTCCTTGATAGAGGGACATTATGGGAACAGTAGTATCCGAGGACCAAAGATCAGGAAAGCAGTTAAAATGCAGCAGAATTAGGTGTGAGCTGGAGTGGAAACTCAGGCTGTGAAAGCTTTAAGGCCTGTTTGGAATATTTGACACGGGTCCTGATGGGTTGAACCTGACCAGGTGTGGCTCCCAACCCAATGCGCTACCACTGTTGGCATCTCCAATTTGGAGATGGATTCTGGCCCACTAGTGGGCATCTCTGTTTCTTTATGGCCAATATATGCCACTTTGGAGGTGAGGCCTCTCCAGCTATTGTCCAAGCAGCTGGAGAGAGGAGAAACAAGAGGTTCAGAATAAACAGGAGAGGCAGTGGTGTGGGAAACCTGGACCAGCAATCGGACCACCTGGGTCCAAGTTGTAACCGTCTCTGATGAGCTGGATAGGGAGACCACTTCACTTCCCTGCACCTCTCCTTTGTCCTAAGTAGCACAGGAATCATCCCTATTTCCTAGCATTAATGAGAATGTTAAGCCTTAAACTCCTTTTAAGGACGAAAGATGTGTCCGATGTGAAGACAAATCCTTGTGAAGCTGGTAACAAAGTGCATCAGACATAGCGGATGTTAGCATCACAGTCTACCTGCGATTAGTGACCATATGTCACAGTCTCCACCTTGGGGGACTCACTTGCTAAAGACACAGGCTTATGAAAGGACCACTCAGGGACAGGTACTTTAATGTCTTCTGCCTTCCTGCCCAGCTCAGGGCATTTAAGGTGAGTATATAGCTTATTGCTTTCCCTGGTGGGTTGATGTGTTAACGGGTAACCTGGCTAGGTGCCTGTGTGTGGAACACACCCATTGCACAAACGAGGGCAGGGCCTACCCCAGGCTAACTCTGTGATGCGCTGTTAGTTGACCCCTCTTCGTTCTGTTTTCAGAGAACGCCGGGTCTCTGAAGGTCCTCTTTGGGACCCCGGAGTTTGTGGCCCCTGAAGTGATCAACTATGAACCCATCGGCTACGCCACAGACATGTGGAGCATCGGGGTCATCTGCTATATTCTGTGAGTCCTGGGATGCTCGTTGGACACACTCCCACTAGAGGGCTCCCACGTGGAGACACTCCCACGAGAGGGCCCCACGTTGCCATGTTACAGTAACGGAGAGGCCAGGGTGGGTCATTATGGAGACCACACCCTCCAAGCAGAAGAGTGATAGGTTTCCATTCCTCTCTCTGCCGGCCCACCCTGCTCCTGAGCTCCCAGAGAGTCAGTGGCCTGTGTCACCCTTCTGTCACCACATATAGTGCTACACATAAAGATCTCCAAGCTGGGTGCCTTGCTGTCCCTAGTGCTGGCAGCCTGGGGGTCTTTGATGAGGCTTATGAGGAGAGAGGACGTCCAGATAAGCATCTTCACTGTCTTCTGAGGGCAGAACCCCATCCTCTCAGGATAGACACCACAGTCCTGGCTCATCTCTCACCCCAGTACATGTACTGATTAATAAGCATTCTTCATGGAAAGGCTTATATGAGAACAACAGACAACGATCAATACAGTAATTAGTTAGCAATGCTGGAGGGAAGGAGAAGCCAAAGGCACATACCAGTGCTTGGCAACCCATAATATACCTCAATCTCCATGGTAATGCCTCAGATTGCAAGCTTTTCCTCAAGACTGGGCAACCCAAGATTCCACACTTACAACAGGCCCCAGGCACTCATAGTGTTTGTCCAACATTACATTTGAAGTAACGAAGATCAACAAACTTTTGTTGGGTTGTTATGAAGCTTCAGGTCACAGTCATGACATTATCCTTAGAAACCACCTTTGAACTTGTGTGGCAGAATGCAGTTGTAGGATAATCTCCCTAAAGCTGTGGCATACATGCAACTATTGTTGTCAGGGTTGGGGTGTAGCCCCATCAGTAGAATACTTTCCCAGCATGTATGAGGTACTGGGTTCAGTCCTCATCACTGCATAGAATCATCCAGATACGGCAGGACACATTTCCAGTCCCAGTACATGAGAGATGGAGACAGGAGAGGAAGTTCAGAGTTACCCCAGCTACATAGCCAGCCTGGGCTACATGAGACCCTGCTTCAAAAATGTATACATATGTATATTGTCATTAAAACAAAAGGGAAATTAAATATTTTTCATAGAAAGTTTGAGGAGGCTAGAGAGATTGCTCAGTGGTTAGGAACATTTACTGTTGTTGCAAAGGATCTGGGTTCAGTTTCTAATGCCCACTTCAGGCAGTTCACACTGCGCACAACTCCAGTTCCTGGAGATTCAAAGCCCCCTTCAGGCTCTGATGAGTACCTGCACTATATTTGCACACAAATTCATCAGGTGCATATATACATACACTTCTCTCTCTCTCTCTCTCTCTCTCTCTCTCTCTCTCTCCATCCACCATCAACCCCCACATCCCCAACACCACCCCCCCCACAGCCTCA